CCCGCCTCAGCCTCCCAGAGTGCTAGGATTACAGGCGTGAACGACCGCGCTCGGCCCAAAATGTCAAGTTTTTAAACATGAAATTTGTCAGGAAAGACACTGGGCCGAGGCTAATTTTTAAAACTATATCAGTTTTAAAGGCAGATAATTATCTCCATTATACCTGTGACATTCGGCATAATAGGTACCAGAAAATACTTATGTTGAAAACTACTGAAGAAGCTTTCACCATTTCTAGCAGGAAAACTGCTCCAAAAGCCAATGCTTTGTTTCTAAAGCTAAAAATAAGACCCAAAGTATTCCATGGATGTCAAAACCTTAATTATTAAGTTTGCATTTTGTGTATTTTAATTCTGACTTTCAAGAAAATACATTTACAATGTGGATTCCAAATTACCAGCAACATTTTCTATTTCACTAGGGAGACTATACTTTTAAGAGGCTACTCCTCACATCAGAAATAACTTTAGCCCAAGAATGAAACAAGTCAAAATAACTTTTCATAGCTTTTCACTGAGTTTTATACACTCAATGTGTGGAAAAGGGAATTGATAAGTATGTCTAAACACATACATAAACATTCTTATTGATAATAATTGGAGTTTTCCCTTTAGCATAACATCCAGAATATTTGTCAGGGTTAATGACGTGACTGTATGAACAAACAAGGGCATGTTTGTAGTAAAATGCAGAAGCCTAAAGTCAATTTTAGACTTTCTGCTATTCCAAAGAAACCAAATGTGATCTTGGGAGAGCTATCCTTTCCAATCTCCTTTTAGAATTAGAGTACATAAGATCGTTAACTTGGACTTGGACATAAAGGCTTATTTAACTCAATTATTAACCAAGGTCTCTGCTGCTTTCCTTCACTGGTCATTCCATTACAGGTCAGTTTTGGTTTTTTACACCCCGAAAGATATGTTTCCATTGTGAACTCTAGTTAATTCATCATTAACCTTCCTTGGACAAGCTGACTGTTGTCAATATAGATGAGAAGAGCCCTTGAGTTTCTTATATACTTCTAATTTTAAAATCAGTTACTAATAAAACTTTAATTTT